ACTGCAGCCGAGTCTACCTCCGACCTTCACATCCTTCACCAGTCCCTCCTTGTTTGTTAACACAAGGTCCAGCAGCGCGCCTTTCCTTGTTGGTTCCTCCACCACTTGCATCAGAAAGTTATCATCAATGCTCTGTAGGAACCTCCTGGATTGCACCTGCCTAGCTGTATGGTCTTCCCAGCTGATGTCAGGGTGGTTGAAGTCCCAGGCTCCAAGAAAGTCTCCTTAAACATTGCCAAGCATAATGGGATAGGAGAAAATTTTTGCACCTTTTATCCTCTAGGGAGCTGAGCTTTTGGAATTTTTATAATCAAACTAAAGTGCAAATCGACTACTACAACCTGTGTGAAAGAACACAGGTCTCATTAAATTGTGTATGTCTTCAGGGTAAAAAAAAACTACCATTGCATTGGGCAAACAAAGTAATAACACTTAATGTATTCAAGAAATGAGTTTTTAAAATTCAGTGTAGAATCAACCAAAGCTGTGTAAAGGTTGGATTTTACTGACTAATATGTTCCAAAATACTTTTTTGCTAGATAAATAGGAAATATTTCTACTTTACATATTAATACATGCATAATTCAGCCACAGTCGGAGGATACAAGGAGTATTTAAACAGTAAGGGAGGAGCCACTGCATCTTATGATACTTTAAGAAGACTTTTCTGAACTGTGTTAGTAGACAATTAACTTTACACTCTTGAACAAACAACTTCAAAGTTTCACCTACAATATTACAGGCCTACCAATAATCTTGATGGATATGACACAGAAATACAAGTGGAACTTAACTCAAAGCAGCACTGGAAAAGCTACTGAGTAAAAAAAAAGCTTTCAAGTAAGATAAAGACACAATCCACATTAGTAAATAAACACTATGCCCAAAATTGGACCACCATCTTTTTCATTTATGATTTGGCTGGACCACACTTCCCTGGATTGCTTTTCTAAAGGGTTACAAGAAAAGCTATGTACAATACACAGGCCACCGACCACGTTCAAATAAAATACTAACCTCTGCAATTACCAAACTACTCTCCTCAAACTCATCACAGAAATATTCACTACTATGACAAAGTATTTCATACCATTGCGAGAACACATAGTCAGTTTCTCTCAGTTAAGCAGTTAAGCAGTCCATGTAAAACAGAGAGGAAAAATAAGACATGAAGAGCAACAAAACTAGCAACAGTTAATTATTGCCTGCCATTCTAGCAAAACAAAAACACATCCCAAAAATTTCTTAATATTTCTTTCCTTTCCTCATGTTGACTTGCAGTTCGGGGCATCTGTAAAAAGTTGATTGAAAAACAAGGAGCATTACTAAAGTTAATTTTATTTTCTAATTTAAATACAGGAGTATCACACCTCAAAATTATGATTACAGGAATGGCAGGAGGGGAAAAATGCTGGCAAAAACTCCAGGATCTCACCTGCTGAAGGATAATTCCAAGGGAATTCCTGTCCTTTTGGTTGACACCATCTCTCTGCAAGCGGGCAAGTAACTCCGGCTTCTTGTAACTCTTCAGTGCCAGTAAGTGAATCACCCTGTCCCTGTACGGTCGCTGAGAAACAGTATTGTATGTGTGAGCCTTCCGTATTGTGTTCGCAGGGTTCATGGGTGTTGACCTCTTCCTCTCGGGCACAGCATTTGGAATGCATTGTGGTAGTTTTCTGACTTGTGCTCTTTTTCCTAAAGCAAGGGAAAAAAACCCCAAAAGTGTGACATGGGAGGCTGGGAGACAAGAAAGTTGATTTAAAAGAATTTACTAAGCCAGATAAATTCTAAAAACTGTATTTAGTTAGCATTTCAAGTTGTGATGAGAATATATGGGTAGTAAAGAGAAGCATTGAGCTAGGCATTTAAAAAAAATATTCAACATTAAAAAAAGGTGGTAAATGAGTGATACTGGTAGGAAAACTTTACCAATTATTTATATAGGTGGCGTTTTTATTACTTTTCCAGTTTATAAGCTCAAGCACTGAATAGCCAAAATCAGGCCTTTTTTTTTTTTGAAAAGTACTCTAAACTGTGATGCAAAGGTCTTCCATATAATTAAAAAATTCCCCATTAATGCCTAGGGAGACCAAGTCTACACAATTAATTGCATCACTACTTAAAGAAACTACTATCACTTGGTGTTAATCACTTGAGTTACCCTAAGTTACACCATAGTTCAAACGGAAATGCTCCCCTCTTATTTAATAAGCCCAAGTTTGTCAGAAACAATACACCAAAAATTTAACAGTTCTTGGGACCAAGGCCAGAGAAGTTTTAAAACATGGCCTGCAAAGCACCTTGGAACAAACTCTACAAAAAGGCACGTTTCCAAAAGAAGGAACAACGGAAGCAATGCATCCAGAATTTTAAAATAACACCACCTAACTTGAACCTCAGTTTTCCAGAAAAAGACCCAAATTTCTCTACTCTGTGTTTTTAAATAGCATTTGCTGTTGTACAGAAAATAAATATTTATCAGCATATGACAGAAAATCATCGTAGTCGACATTGTTTGCAATCCAGCAGAGGACGTGACACAACCTAGGCATTTTCCTGAAACCTGCAACTCATGTTTGGTACATGAGGGAGACTTCATGAGTATGGGTCGGAAAACCTGAAGCTTGCTCTCTTCTCTCAGACACACAGAGACTGAGCTGTGCTTACACACTGCTTGTCCTCAGGAATAGCAAAAATCTGTTTCCATTTTGCAGCGGAGGCCAAAGATGTGTAACCTTCCTACCCTGCATGTTCCCTGGACGTTGCCCTTATGGTTTTCAAGAACAAACCTAATCACACACACACACGGTGACATTTTTAGAACAGTATGAACTTGCCAGTTCTTTACTGAGCGTATTACAAACATTTTGACAAGTTCAATGTAGATACACAAACCCCCAGCACAGCGGATACTGTAAGCAGCATTCAAACAGAACACCTCCTGAAGTCATGTCTCTGAATCACTGGAAAAAAAATTAACTGAAGACATAACCAAGCATTAACATGATTTACAATCCCAGTTCCTAATTGGTACGGCATGAAGCATGTTGCAAAGTCACTCCCGTGCCCTACCAGCAACTAGACCTGTCCCACCTGAGCTTCCTCAACGCCAGTCTGGAACAAAAGTACCCCAAAACACCATAACTGTCCTACTGCCAGTCTTCAGACCTCATTTATTTCATGTTAAATATTCACTTACATTCTACTTGAACAACCAACAAGAATCACGCAGATCATTCACATGTAGAACAGAACTTCCCATATGAGAAGTTTTGAAATAGACGACAGCATCTCCTCTCATGTTGCCATTAACGAGCAGTTCAGACAACACGGGGGAAGCAGTCCCAACTCCATGTCCTGCTATTCACCCGTGCCCAGCTCCCCCCATGTCAAGGCCACAGACACTTGGATCTGTATCTCCAAAAAGCCACCACGATGCTGGCTTAAACTGCTCTGTAGAAGAAGCATTGCATCACTGCTGTTGGGGACGTCCGTGCTGGAGGAAGGCTGCGGCTGCAGCCAAGCGAGAGCCTGTTTTGCTTAGTGAAGGTGATGTACCTGGTTCAGCTCGCTGCTGCTGGCAGGACCACCTCTGCCTGTACCACTGAGCGCTTATAAGGTGGGTGCTCACCTTGCGTCTATCTGCAGCCGGCTCCAGGCTCCGGTACTCACAACAGTTTAATGACGAATGACACCACCTAGGCACTTTTTGCTTTGTGGAAAACGATGAAATCCGTGGGAAGATGCCAACATTACCTTACTTTAACTTTTTTTTTTTTTTTTAAACTTTTTGCAAAAAAAAACCTTAAATTTTTTCAAAAAACTTTAAACTTTTTTCTTTAAAAAAAAGAAAAAAAAAAGACCTATGGTCTTGCGGTAACAGTCCCTTATTAATGACCAAGACACAAAATAAATAAAATTTAATCTGAATTAGTAAGTGAGAAAAGCAAAGTTTTTCATATGAAGCTTACAAATTTGTACATGAGACTTCCTCAATGTTAATTTTTTCAGATTACAAATTAAGGTTAATAGTTTAGCACAGTGTTTAGGTACTCAAAAGCGCTGCTACAAAACCAAAACTTTAGATACTAAACCAGAGAGAATTTAACTGCATGGGGTGGGGTAAAAACCCTCACCTCTATGGTCAAAATATCAACCAGTCAAGCACTATGGGAACAAGGCAGGGCTGACAGGCTTTCTGGGAGGAAAAAAGAAGACTAATGCCTGAATGTGAGGACAGGAGACTGCAAGTCTGTAATGTCAGGGTAAGCTACCTACACCCGAGATCTCTGAACACAGCACCTTCACCAAGAATATGCTGAAAAGATGAATTACTGAGTTTGAAAACTTACAGACATCTAGTAGAAAATTAAATACAACCATACCTAAAAATGGTCCACCAGGCTTAATAACCTTTGTACTTCGATTGCGCGACTCCTCTTCTGCCTGGGTCATGCGCTCTCTGGTCGTCAGATAGGAATCACTTGTTGCACATACTGTAATTTTATTCTGTATAACTCCCAGGCAACTGAGTTGTGACGCTCCAGAACTACAAAAACATTGAAAAAGGTTGAGCCCAAGCACTAATCCAGGTTTAGAAGGATGGTTGTATCAGGAACTTTAAAACCTGTCTTAACAGGTGAAGAGAACTGGGATAGTTCTGACAGCTAGCTGGGCCACAAATATATTTCAAACGGCCTCTACACACCCAAGCCTTATCGGTTTTACCCGTCGGTGTAATTACAGTTTCCTCACATAACCATATTTGAGAGGCAGACTCAGGGCAGCATCAGTGGCTGTACTGCTCAGGGCTGCAAGGACAACTACCAAGACAACTCAGACAGCTACACCGGCACCCTAATGGTGGGCAGCTCCTGCCCTGGGGCAGCTCCTGCCCTGGGGGCCTTCCACTGGCCACCGGCTCCCCACTCACCACACGTCTCCTCTCCTCTGCCTGAGGCAGCCCATGGTGGCCCCCAGCCCTTCGAGGCCCAGCCAGCCTCCCCGCTCTCCCCTCATCTTGCTCTCCAAGATGTCCGCCCTCCTCGTCGCCTGCTCGTTGCGTCTGACAGCGCCGAGGAGCGTTGGCTCTTCATGTGCCTACTCCGCTGAGGATTCGCACTGGAGAAGATGCTCTCGGAGCAAGCCCCACACAGGGGGAAGGACAGCGAGGTCTCCTCAACAGCGTCAAGGTGGGCCGTGGGGCTTCACGAGGTGCTTCTGGAAGAGCTTGGCCCACTGTGTTCAGTCCAAACGTGCTCCCGCACTGCACTGCGCCCAGCCAGGAGGACACCTCAACTGACCAACAGCAGCTTGGTTTAAACTAGCCTAACTACCACTGCTCTTAACGAGTACGCTGTCCAGACCTGCCACTGCAACAGCTCTGACCAGAGACAGGGCACCAGCTTTAGTTACCTGAATGACTTCAATCACCCTAAAACTTACTTTCAAGGCTCCAAGAAGAAGCGTCAAGAATCTCGCCTCTCAACTTATTACATTGCTTCTGAAAGCCACAAAGCTCGACCAAGCCACTGACCAGTATTTCCAGATGATACAGGTACAGTTTTGTCCATAGCCCAGAGCTATGTATTGATTCCCTGCTCCGAAATCAGCTTATTTGCAACAGAAAAAAAGGCCCTTCTTGCCATCTAAAAGCACAGCTTTTACCCATTGTCTGTTTCCTGGAACATCGCTGTTTTAGGTGCTTTTTCACCACAGGAGCGGTCAAGCACTGACCGAGACGCTGTGCAATCCCCCTCCTCGGGCCGGGTATCTTCCAAACCCAAGCCAGTTTTGAAGCTAGACCTGACTTGAACACAAAATTAGACTAAATACCTTGCAGAGGTCCTTTCTGGTTTTGTTTTTGTCTGGTTGGTTGGTTGGGGTTTTTTTTAGAACTCTGTGCATGACACTACAACAGTTTCGCACCAACTTTGTGGGCACTTTGCACAAACCGAGAGCTGGCTACAAAGGACCTTGCAAAAGCTAGTCTGAATTAGATTAGTAAATCAACAGAACTACCTAGGCATGTTATTCTGAATTCTTCAGAGAAAGCAGCTTAAATTTAATCTTACCTACAAAATAAATTCAGTTTAATTTAACTCAAGGTGCTCCTTCCCAAAAAAAAGTGCCCTGAAATGCTCGGGAGAGGCAAGCCAGGAGCTCTCACCCCCCTGTACCCCCCCCCTGCCGCTTGCTTTGTGCCAGCCCCAGCAGCATTCTGACCCCTTTCAGACAGAGTTTAATAAAAAAAAAACCGAAACAATCACAACCCATAACCCCACACGGCCCCAGGCTCCCCCAGGTCTGCCACTAAACCATCCAGCTTTTTGCCAACCCCATCAGTTAAGTGAGTTCACTGGAAGGCTGTACTGTAGTAGAAGAGACCTAACGCAAGGAGGGGAAGAGAAGGATGAGGATGCTGAGAGATCTCCTGTTAGGCAGAGAACTATTAAATCAGCTCATTTTCTGTCTGCTCTGGAAACCTGCCATCTAGACAAATCTCTGTGTCAAAACCAAGGGCAGAAGCTCTCCCGTGACAGAGAACCTGTGCAGCACCCTTCGGAGACCTGCGTCGGTGTGCCTGTTCGCTATCAGCTTCCCAGATCAATACATAAACCCTGCCTGCCGTGCCCTCGTTCATCAAATGGCACTGTTATTCAACACCACTGGACTGCATTGATACTACGCCGAATGCAGTATTCTAGAAGCCGAAGCAAACTTCACGTAAAAGCACAGTATTTTCTTGCCTTTTTGGTAGACGTTAACACTGTTCGCTTTGACTCACAGGACCAGGACAAGGTGCTGCTGTATTGCGTTTTGGTTCTGAGACACCATGGTCAGGCAATTATGGATAAGGTCACTGACTTATGTGGTTCTTAAAATAAGACAACTATCCATCATCATGGCTAGCATGCTAGCATGCTGCCAGCCATAATCATATTTACACACGGTTGTGGAATGGATCGGGTCTAGCTTGGACGATGCTGAACTCCAAATGCTTTTAAAAATAGCACTAAGAGGTGAGAAAGTACTCAAAAGGTTACTTTTTTAAGAGCAAAACCAAAAAGAATTCTAAGCAAAAGCAAGTATTTATAATTAGCAAGAAATCATGCTATTGCTAGGAATTAATTTTCTACAGCAGCTCATCGCTAGCAGCATGCTTCTGTTAAAGGTTTTTGCTATATGGTCAAAGCCACAGAATCTACTTAAATTTGCCATGAAAGAAAACATTAAGTAAAACTTACCTTGAGTCTATTTGCTGGACACAGTCAAAGCTTCCCTGAGGATTATCTTTGCCAACATTTGACAAGTAGAAGTTAAATGTATGCACTTCATTTGGCAGACCAACTTTGGGAATTTTAATAAGCTAAAAGGAAAAAAAGAGTTTACGTAAAAACTTCAATCTACACTCTTTTGCCTGTGATTAACTACGACGATAATTTCAAAGGAGAAACGGTATTTTGAAAGTTTTGATACGACTTCGGTCACGTCACTAAAGCGGCCGCTTTGGCACAGTTCTCCCCCCGAAGGCAGCACCGGCTACGCGTCTGTCGCGGCGGTAAGGAACGGCACTGGAAACGCTGCCGTCGCTCAGCCTCTAATTCAGCAAAGCATTCAGGCAGCAAGTCATCCTTTCCCATTTCGTGGAATTAACACGCACGAGCCTAACTTCAAATGCAAGGGCCAAAATATAGTCCAACGAACCGAAGCTCAGCTAACAGAAAGAGACGGGAGCCATTCGCACAGACCACACGGGACACTGCCCCGACTTTGTGATTTATTTGATCCTAATGAAGCACGTACGGGAGCCAGCTCCAAGAAGGAGAAAAACCCATCAACGCCCAAATTTCAGGACTAAAACTTCTTAAAGTATAAATGATTAATTTCAACTCCAACAAGCGCTAAAAGCCATTTTCTTTTACTCAGCTCTAAGTGCAATTATTTGCATGAATATGAAACGTAAATACGTTTTCTGTAAGTTCAGTCAGATGTAACAAAACTTGATTTCCTTGGCTGAACTAATCATTTAGTACAGAATGTGCTGCATTCTGCTGGACCTTAAAAATGTAAATACGAGAAATCATTAAAAAGTTTGTTGGCATAAGCACATTTTCCAATGTGCTGCTACACAAAACAATACTGCAGCACAGAAAACTACTGCCGTCCAACCACTTTGAAGGTAAAATTAGCTTGCAGTAAATCTAAAAAGCTGTTCCGAAATTTGCTTGAATTTTTAATGGAATATTAAATACAACTGACAAAGATATTTAAAAGCAATATTCAAGTCATAGAAATCTTTCTCTTAATATTTTGCCTGTGAGATTGGCCAGTCTTCATAAACGTCAACATCATCAGCACAAAGTACCACAACAAAACAACTCCATTATCTTTTACATTTTAATCATCAGCACTGGCAGAGCTTACCAACTGTTTGGGACAGAGGCTGGACATGGAGAAAGACGAGTCTCCTGAACACCATGTTCTTTTACCTGAGCTTAAAGTATTAGCGTGCTTAGAAGAGCAATCTGTGCATTTTATATAAGAATGGAAATAAATTGGCTATGTTACCAAACACATGGTCTTGGATTATACACGCAGCTTTAGCTTTTAAAGATTATGAAAGTTAACCATCAACCTAAGATTACAGGGGCCCAAATAACACTTAACATTGATCTGTCATCTATAAAACCAATCACCACTGGCTGAGCTTCAGCATACCAGATTTATTCTAAATACTGCAGGTGCGCGTGTACGAATTTGACAATCTGAATTCAACCCACTGTGGAAGAGGTAATGCTTTTTTAGCCTGATATACTTTCGGAAAACCAACAAATATACACTATGATCAATCTAAGGCTGGCCCTCAAGAAACACAGCCCAGCAGAGGGAAGTAGGTAACTGTCACTGTGTATGCTAGGACTTCATTCTCAGAGCTTATTTGGAGCAAACCTTTATTTTTCCATTGATCAGCCTAAAGAATGTATACGCATGCAATCACCTTAAACATTAGGAATTCCTGTACCCTAATATTTATATTTAAAATTCTGGAAGAATTGCCATGGGTACTAAATTGCAGAGTGGCTTAAATAAGTTTTGATGCAATAATGCGAAGACGGAAGTTGGCCTTGGAGTGCATTTAAAAACATGTTTGTCATTGTTCCACTCTCTTCAGTGGTGAGGTTTTATTTCTCCAAAATATTGAAAAAGACACTGATAAAGTATGGAGAAAAAAAAAGTCCACCTCCTTACAGGCAGATGCCTATGAGACTTATCACTGACAACTATTTCCCAGATGCAAACTCAGATGGAAGCACTGCGTATTTCAAAGCTCCCTGTAAGAAAAACACTGACGATGATGAGGGAACCAGCTACAGTGACCATCATTTTGCATGAGCAAAGAAAAGGTCTAGAAATTGACTTTCTTTTTTACAATTTTTAGGATATATTTTTCCACAAACTTCATGAGAACCAGATGACCACTCCACGGGCATTCATTAATTTAGAATAAGAGAACGCAAGAACAGTGGGGGAATATTTCTCTGCTAGAAGGTTTCAGAAGTGTCAGTGCAACTAACCCAAGAATAAAAATTTAGCTCTTTCATCATTGGTTCCAAAGTTTTATTATTTAATGTGTAATGCAGCAGACACAAGTCTTTCATTTTAGTGAACCTTTTTCTGGAGCTGTTCAGAATATCCACATGGCCAAAAGCTTTGTCTCTTGAACAAGAAAATTTAGTGAAGTCTGTCATAACTCAGATAACCCAGTTTAATAAACTTGGGACAAGCTCTGACGGAAAAAAAATGCACTTTAAGTTGTATTAAAAGCAATTAAATCTGATAAGCCTATTTCTCATTTTATGGTTCAAAAGTGAAAGCCCAAACATTTATGAAACGGAATGAAAAATAATTATCGAATGTGCATGTAGTACAAAGCTGTCAGGGACAAAATGCATGAGGATGGATTTAAATTCACAGCAGTCTTGAAAAACTGGAATGGAGGTCTGAAAATATACATATAACACCCTTCAAAAGAGGCTGTACAAGCTTTGAAGTAAAAACTCAACACGAGGCAGCAGTGGCAGAGAAAACAGTCTGCAGGTTACAGTTGAGCATCCAACCAACACAAGCCCACGGCATCACGCTTCTGCAGTATCGGGGTGCACCAGCATGACCACGGCAACAAGAAGCAGCAGGCTGAACCCCAGGATGATGTCGTGGTGCCGTGATGATGTCGCGAGACCTGCCCAAGGGAGCTGCTGCTCTTGACCCGCTCCGCAGCCTCCTGCCATCCCATTGCACACCACTGCTCCCGAGAAGCACGGTGCTTCAGCAGCCGAACCCCAGCCCCAGTGCACTGTCCTCTACCAAATGCCAACCACCAGCCCTGACCTGAAGAGATTCCAGGGCTCCCACCTCGCTCCTTTGCAAAGTCCCCCCGACAAATCAAGTAACATTATCTTACAGAGGCACGCTTGTAAAGCATGGGGTTCTTGCTTGGCAACATGCAGTCTGGAAAGTATTCCTAGGACATTTATCAACACATTTTTAGCAACCTAGAGAAAGAAATACTTCAACTGGATAAACTCACTGACAACACTTAGGTTTGCAAAAGCGACTGTCAGCTCAAACCCTCAAGATCAAGTTCTACTGCTGTTGACATATTTGCCATTTCTTTCAGTATCTTGCAAGACAAAATAACACTCTGAAGTAGTTTATAGACCCAGCAGCTTCTGCAAATAAGCCTTGTTTTGAATAAACAGTCCGGATTTTACACTGTAAATTTATATCATACAGTTCTGAAAAGTTCAACAAGCAGTTCAAGGATTTTGGGCTTAATCAGAATTACGATACTGCGTTCTGCCTGAGATAACCATAGTGGCAAAAAGTTTGTTTTTCCTATTTGAGCAATACTTGCAGAAGAAGGGCAAGGAGCCTTTGTTGAGAAAGTACACATGGCAATCACATTAATCCATAACAGAAAATAAACCTTTGTTTCAGCACCAGGAAGCAGCACTGCAAGCCCCTTGTCAGCACATTTGTTTCAGAGAGGCTGCTGTTGATTTCTATTCGGCCTTCCACATGTCAAGAGCATCCCAGCGGGTACGTGGTGTGCAATACACTGAAAATTAATTCGCTATATTCTCTCACAGCTGAGAGGGTGATTTCCAAATAGCAAACACCCACCGTTATTCCTAGCTGATGTACACTCTTCCTCCAGAAAGAGTGAAGTCCTTGCCACAATCCTCCATTAGATCTACTGTATCCTTACAAGGAGGGTAAGCAAACAGGGCGGTGAAAGGAGAGGAGAAAGCCCTGAAGAGAAGCTGCAGGTCTGCACGCCCTACCCAAAGAGTCACCCCGGCCGTGCCCAGGCATGGGAAGAGGCTACCCTGAAAGCACGTGCACACAGACCCAACTCACAAAGACCTCTCCACCCGGTTCAGGCACCATCCTAACAACATGAGCCATGCACCCTTCCCCTAGCACTGCCCAGCTTCAGACCTGTTAACTAACTGGTCTGAGTTGTCAAGCCTGCAGCTGGTATGCTTCCGAGAAGAGGTACTAGCATGGGAAGGCAGGGCATCGCTCTTCTCCCCACGTGCCCACACACATTTACCCTTGCACGTACTTCTTTCCCCATTTATGGGAGGTCACACAAAACACTCTCTCCACCACCAAGTCGCACCCAGGCAGGCAGCTGTGCTAGGCCTTGTGCCAGCTTCCCCACGCATCCCACCCAGCACGAGCAGCCCTCACCGCTCAGCAGCCTTGGGACAGGCGACCCAGTTTCAGCTAACACCCAGCCCAGGTCTGAATGCCTGTCTCAGCAGCTACCCTCTAGCCAAGCCCACAACCGATCAACACTCGGAGAACATCACCGGTCTGTTTCACAAGGCAGTTTAACACAGGTAAGTTGTGATGGATGAGGATTTACAAAGCAGTAACCAACACCCACTCATGCCTAGAAGTCCTAGCATCCTATCGATGCTATCAGTACCACCCACATCTGCTTCTCCTGCACGGCCAGGAAGCAGTATTGGGACTGCAGGGGTGAAAAAAACAAGCAAAGACGCACCTAAAGCAGAGAAAGGCAAACACTCAACAGTTTTCCCCGCCAGGTTTGATCAAATTTTCTGTAGTGATCTGCTGTTTGTTTCAAACACTTCCCTTCTGCATTTCCTCTCTACTTTCCTTCACAGCTGCCTTCTCACACTGCTTTACCATCTGTACCCTCACCCTCCTCTCCCCTGTTTGGGAAAAGAAATTTCAAAACCCCCCTGTCTTTAGTGAATCCACTGCTTAACAGACTTTGTTAAAGGCGACACATGAAAAAGGTGGTGTCAGAAGCCACTGCAGAGGAATTATTAAACAGTTCTGGAAACTGAGTAATTGCTTGTTTAGCCTACAGAATTTTCATTATTTTAACAGAAGCACGCAGGAAGTCTTACCTTAATGTCAAATGCATTTCTCTGGGCTAATGGAGTTGCAGAAACGCTATTTTCTAGACCCATGCTGAAAAGACAGGAGTGGCTGAGCAGATCATTCTTAGTTGGTGGCAGCTGCAGGAAATTTGCTTTTTCTGCCTCCGCTCTAAGCTTCCGTAAAGAAAACAATTTCATCTATATTTGCATATATTTCA